AAGCGCTCGCACTATCCAGGATGGATGGAGGTTGCACATAATCTGGAGTCAAGTGAGCAGAAAAAGGAAAGAAGGAAGGAATCGAATTTAAGGTGTAAAAGAATGAAAAAATGTCCCTACTGGACATATTTACAGGTTTCAATGGGTCAATGGCTAGCCCATAGCAACTAGCAGAACGAAGGGAAATGGATGGAGCACCAAGTGGTGGAAAGTATGCTCTCAACCACAGTTAAGTGAACTAAAGGGGCCACTGCCAGTGGGAAATGCACCATTCTTCAGTTGAGATTGAAGGGAAGTCATGCCTCTATAAAGGGCAGCTAAAAAGAAGGAATATAAGTTCAAAGGCCTACCATGCGCCAATTCATGCGCTATGGGTAAATAGCTCATAGAAAGTTTCATACTTGGCACGCGGAGAATATATGTACAGAGCCAAATTTGAAGAAAGGCCACACGCTTAGTGTGTGAAGGTTCAGCGCTTGAATGATTATAAAAACCTTGCATGCTCGAATAGGACTCAGTAAGTTTCTTGTCAAATTTCGGGCCAACATTGGAAATCAAGATACCAAGAAAGATGGTATCGCCTAAAGACGGAAGATTTACTAGGGCTCCAACGTCCTTTAAAGTAATTGACATGGGACCAAGAGGGAAAACGAAGGTATTATATTCAGAAGACCAAAAACTCAAAGCAATCGGAAAAAGCACTGGGTCGAAAATTAGGGGTTGAAGAGCGATTTCTAATAAGTCTGAAATCCTAGCACAATCAAAAATCGCCTTGGTAGTGCCATGATTCACAAGATGTGCATGCCATCCACGAAAAATAACATCAACTTTGGGCCAAGTGCGAATACCTTTTTCGCGAATCGGCCTCAATGGCAGAGAGTTCAGGAACGGAGGGTCTTGAGTGCAAGGGAATAGTTGGCCCACCGCCACTTGTCCAACGGCTTCAGCATTATTGAATGATGGACCCAGATAGAATTCATTGAGGTCAGCATTGGCTTGTGCAAGGAAGTTTGGATTTACATACGGCCTAGTAAGGATTTTCTGGAAATCTTCGAAACTAAAAGAATCATCAGATTGAGTTTGTGAAGCCGCCATTGGGTGCAAAGTATAGCTTTGTTAAGATTTGCCTGAGAAACGTAGCAAAGAAACAAGAAGATGAACAGTAAAATAGTGAGGAGGAAGCGCGAAATATAGAGACGTGGTTTAGTGGTGCGATGAAATGGCGTGTCTTTTGGGTTTATAAGGGTTTGTAACGTTGCACCTTTTCAGGCTATAGAAGGAAATAATCATTAAAATTCTTGGGAATTTCAAATGTTGCTGGAAAATACAAAGTGAATATGGCAAAGATTAATAATTGGTATTAATTCTACCATATTGGGGGGTAATTGTTGACACACTAAAAGTGCAGCCCAAACAAAATAACTTAAAGAGTGAAGCCCAATTGGGGAGTCGAAGAAAAAGGTCCAAATAGGATTATTGATGAATGCAGTGGAAGTCCATGAATACAGTAACATCATCGCCCAAGCTTGCAAGACGCCCAGAATCTGAGCGAATAGAGTGCCTTACTGTCGCCTAGAGTGATGACCCCGTTCTCGCCCAAACCTTCGAATCGGCCAGGATCTTAGCAAATATAAAATATTATGGTTATCCAGAATAGCAGTTATTGAGTAATCTTATCACATTCCACAATTCAAGGAGCCCAGTTGAAGGCGGTTGAACGACAAAGAGTAATGACAGCAGTTAGAGACGGCAGTTCCACAACAATTTAGCCATCATAAAGAAAGTGGGTAGTTTTAAAGCAATCACGCAGTTTTCAAGCGGTTTGTCACAAGGAAATCATCAAGGGAATATAAAAAGGAGGAGAAGACATAGAGAAAAAGGGAATCAAACACTCTCAAACAGAGAATATGTAATTTTAATTTCTTAACTTAAATTTAAACACTTCTTTTAGTACTCGTGTGCTTGCGCCTCTTGGAGGCATTCTGTTTATTTCTAATTGTAAATCATCGCCAATAAAACACCCCTTTTTGGGACTTTGTCTCAAGAGGTTTGTTCCTTACATAGTCGTCTGATCCGTTTTTTAATTGTTAGCGACTACCCGCGCGAAACAACGTCGTAATGTAGATGCTATCCATATAATGTACTAAAAACAAATCTTGAGAACAGATCTCACCTCAGAGTGAATAATCTCTTAATTCTATGAAGTTATTGATAAGTATATTTTATGCACTTCTTTAGGCCATTAAATATGAGTATTTAAAAGTATTTTTTGATAAATTATAGATTAATCTCTTACATATATTGTTTGTTAGGTAAAATTCAATGATTGGATTGAAATTGGAAGAAAGGAATGAAAATTGGCGAAAAGGAAAGATTCTCAAAGTTCAGGGACCAAATTTCAAATATCTAAAAGTTGATAATGGAATCCATTGTGTGAAGTTAAAAGTCAACGGAATAGAAATTGCACATTAAAAGGATCTAAGATGAACAAAAGAGTAAAAGTGGGACTAAAATGGAAATTGGTGAAAGTAGAATGAGGTTGCAATATCACCCTATGAAGGGTTACAATCACAACTGATAAGTGTATAAATTAAGTCGTTAAATTTGATTGATTGTAATTAATTTTGATGAATTATGATTTAATTAGTTGTTAATTTCATTTGTTAAGTAGAACCCAAGACAAATTGGATGAATTACACAAAAAATGAAAAATGGGCAAAAAAAGGTAAAAATACAAAGTATGGGATTAATTGTAAACTTTCAATAGTTGATTTGGACCTTGAAGTGATGATTGAAGACCTTGTGGAATCAATTGATCAAAGGTGGAAGTAAAAGGGCCAAAGTTGCACAAGAAAAAGATTACATTAAATGGAGAATTAAAGCTAAGGACTAAAACGAAAAATCCTGAAAGTGTTGTACCTCGCGCGAGATAAAAGAATGTCAAGTCATCTGGATCCCACATGCGGTGGTAAATCAAGGACCAATATTCGAAAATTCTGGCCGCCATTATGTCTTCTTGGACTTGAATTTTACACAGAATTCTGGGCAGATTTTTGGAGGCTTGTACACGTTTGAGTTCCTGGCCATGCAATGCATGGCTTGAATTTTGTTTAAGGTGATATTAGTGTGGTGATTTATATTAGTATTGAATTTTTATTGTAATTCACTATTTTTAGCTTGTTTCATTTACTATGCTCTAATAAAGATTTTCATGTAGAATTTTTTTTGAGCTGTTTAGATGGAAAATAGTAGTTATACTTTTCAATAGGCAAATTCGTAGTAATAATTTTGTTTTGTGCGTGAAATAGGTTTTTTAAGTGTATATGAAAACTTGGTTATTATTATTTGCTGCAAATTATGTGAAACGTTTGCGCTGTAATTATTCTCAAAGTTCATGACATTTCCCAACGAGTAGCAAAAATAAGTGCAGCAACATACCTGTTCATAAATATATTAGAAAGTTATATTTAAAGTATAAAATGAGAAGTATAAATATGGATTTGCTTTTATTTGTCCTAAATGAGTTGGTAAGAAGTATTTCTCTACGATTTCATCTGCAGTAGTTAATAAATAAATTATATTATTATAGATTATTTAACTTAATCTTATAAATATATAGACTGCTAAAGAAATTACTATGATGGTTGATAAAAATTCTATAAAAATTCATATGATCAATTTTTCTAATCGTTTTATTGAATAATGATAATACATTTAACGAATATATAAATTATTTGCATAATGATTGTATTTAAAACACGTTGAATTAAACTTGTATAGAAAGAAAATTGAAATACAAATGGGATTATAATGATCACTTTCAAAAGTTGAATTAAGCTTGTAGAGAAAGAAAATTGAAATTCAAATGAGATTATAATGATCACTTTCAAAAGTTAATAGCGTTATTACAAAAGGAAGAAAATGAAACATTGATAAGAAATTGTTAAAACGACAATTCTTTGATATACTTGCTATTTGAATACATGATACTTACATGATGGGTGATGAAAAGCTTTTTGTTCTTGGTTTCGACATCAATCATGATAGGGCATACCTATTAAAGCAAGAGAAAGCCTATTAGCAGAAGTAGAAAGAAACAAGACTAAAGTATATGTAGAAAAAATTGAGATTGAATTAATTAATGAATATAGACATTTATTTTGGTAATGCTTTTACCTTATTATAACTTTTGCTTTACATGATGGGGACATTATAAAAAAAAAAAAAGGTTACCTGCTTTGTTATAGTTATGATAAATATGGACGGAAAAAATATTCATTTTGACAGATATCTGTGACAATTTTTCGTCTGTATAAACGTATTTTCTCAGTTGAAACTACTTCTAATGGATATCCGAAAATGAAGCATTCAATGTATTTGAGAAGAAGAACTCCAGAGTTTGGCCTACGAAAAAATAGTTTGAAGTTATTTTATAGTAATGCTATAAATGTAAAATAAAATTGAATAGAAAAATAAATATTAAAGTAAATTGTTGAGATACTTACCCATTATTTTGAGAAGGTAGATACGGTATGATTTCCAATTTCATACGTTTATTTCTATGTTTTCGTAAATTTGGCTTCCCGAAGAAAATGTCAGTAGCTATTAATAATGATTGTACTACATCAAAAACTGGGGCTGCACGCAACTTGATTGCATCTGGTGTATGAATGTTGTGGCTGCAATCATATACTTGAAATTTCCACTTTTCAAAATCAACAAGAAAAATAAACCAACTGTTGCCTGGATATGCGACTGGAATCAATAAATAGTTGTATGTTATCCAGGGTCGAGCAAAGGTAGGTAATTCTCCTTTTGTGTATTGCTCTAATGCCTGAAAATTATTCATAGAAGCGGTTGCTCCTCGTTTGATCGTTGTGTACCAATGAACACACTCATTCTCGAATCGAAAGTCCATGATTGCATATTCTTTGGAAACCGGGGAAGATGTATCATAAATGAGTCTTCGCAACAGCTTTAATTCTATATCAGTATGCTAGTAAAAAAAATTTAAATTAGCTATATTAATAACGAAGTAAAATTAATTAAGATTGCTAAAGTTGACTTACCACAATATTTATATCTTTAATTTGATTTATTATATTCATCAGCGAATGTCTTGCGTATTGATTGTCGATTTCATCTTTCCAGTATGCACTATATAAGAAAAAAATGAAATTGTTATTAAATAAGTAAAATATGAAATAGAATATTTAAGTTAACGAAGTTAATTTTAATATCTTACTCTGATGGATTTTCTGATATCCATTCTCTAATGTTTTTGTATTTGTCGATGTTATAATCTTCCAAAGTATTCGTTGCCGTTGGTGATGGAGATTGTGTCTCTTTTTGCTTACCTTTTTTTTCTTTTGTTGATCTTTCGACGTCTTCTGCATGTTCAGATGTTGAAGGCATTTCAAATTCAGCTTGATTTGTTGGAGGGGGCAAATCATGTTGTACAGAGGCTACAATTGATTCCATATGTGATTTCCAGTTGGTTAACTGATTTTGCATATTTTGATTTTGTTCATCAATGTAAGACTTCATTAAACCGAAACTGGTATCTACATAAGAATGCATGTCTGATTGTATGCCTTGAAAATGTTCCTCTTGATTTTTTTGCTGCACTTCAAAAAATTGTTTTTGATTGTCAAGAAGTGTCTGACAGAGAGTTTGTTGATTTTCAAGAATCGTATGATACTGAGCTTCTTGCTTTGTTGCTTCTTGAACGATCTGTGTCTTCAAGCTGTCGTAGAAACCAAAGACATCTTGTCTGTGTATATTGAACATCTGTTCCATATCTTGCTTAGTTACATAGTCTGAAGTACCGGAAGAAGTAGATTCAATTCTATTTGAACTGTGTACAGTTGTTTCTTGTGGATGTATGTTATATGCTCGAATTTGTTCTGTTGTATTTTCCAATTCACCATTGACAATGCTGTCTAGTGTACAATGTTGGTTGTCAGTTGGTAGTGAAAGAGTTGTATACCAGAATGTTTCCAATTCTGCTTCAGTAGGATTTAACGTTGCAATTACTGTAATCTATAATTGTAATATTGTAATAAAATATTAGACGTATTCTATAAAAGTTATTTATAAAGAATAAAAGATATATTTAATTGTATACTGAAATGAACATACCTCTTCAGTAGCTAAAAATTCTTTAATAACATTTTCCGCTAATACCATTTGAGGCTGCCATTTATGCATTCGTGGACATTTTAAACTTGTACGGATACGGTAACCAAATTGTCGTCCAATTTTAGGAAAAGCTTCGTATATCCAATACTGAAATATAAGTAAAAAGGAATGTTAACGTTTTTTACATGATTAAAATATATCGAATAGGGAATAAATGTAAGAAAATTACCTGGAATACAAGTGGATAACCATGCAATGAATATTTACATTCTGCTTGGTTATTTTGTTGCATTCTTCGTATTCTTTCAAGCTGTGATTTTTGTAATGAATGTAATAGACCAAAATATGCCTTACGTCCCCATGGATACATAAGAAATTCATCAAGCTGTTCAACCATTCCAAGAGTTCTGTAATCGATGTGTCTTCCAATTGGTTTTAAAACACATTCGACAAACATAACTAATCCTAACTTAAATTTATCTTCTCGATCTTCACATATATGAAATACTTCAGAAAGTCTTATCATAGTTATTCGTTTTGAACCATCAAAGTATTCATCTCTAAGTCGAGTATTACTAAAATTTAGATCAATAGTAGGTTCATGACATGGCAATCCAGTTATGAGACAAAATTCTTGTAGGCCAAAACGAGCTACACGATCGTCTAGTTGTACCCAAACTTCGTTATTTTTACCACAGTTTATAAGTCTCATTATAAACTCATGTGTTAACTTGCTGCTAAATTTGTCGTTTTGCTTCTTATTCATATTTCCACAAATGAATCCATGGAATGGACTGCACAATAAAGAGGTTTGATCATCTGCATTTATAAGTTCTACAAAATCTTTAAAATATTGATGATTTGCAAATTGAGTAATTGTAGCAGAGAACCATTGATTTGGAGATAATATGTATTCTAGTGACATCTGCAAAAAGTAATAAAAAAACTGTTTAGTAGTCAACAAATTTATTCATATACTAATGTAACATAATTTTTTAGAAACTGGCTAATTTTGTTCGTGATGATGAATAACATTTTAGAAACTGTAACTTCATGAAAAAAATGTAGTATTATATCTATACTATTTGAACCATTGTGTTTTGTGTTTGATGTGAAACTTTATATATATATTGTGATGGAAAGGATAATTGGTTACAATTGTATGAAACTTTATGATATTTTTACAGTTTCATATTAGAAATATAATAGTACAATAAATAAATCGAAACAACATAATTTGTACTATGATTGATATGTAGTTCGAATTAATAAAATTTGTTAACTTTAATATTTATGCAATATATTTAAAGAAAAAATTATACGAAAGATAAAATAAATCAAATGATAGTTAATAACTATATGTGTATAAAACATAGAAAAACGAAAATTTTGATTAAGTTCATTATGTTCACCTTTAGATAAAATGAATTTATATGTATAATTTAAATAAACAAAAATGAAGATATGTATGTTTGTGAAAGGGTTTTTAATTAAAAAAATTATGGTATAATGTAATTAAGAATTATAGTAATTAAAAAATTAATTAATTAAAAGAAATTTTTTTTGATGTTAATAGATAATCGAAATTTTTTACATTAGACGTGGTAGTTGATCGTAGAAAAGAAATTATATTAAATATGTTAAATTTGTATTTTTTTGAAGTACTAAATTTGAGAAACTAAATTTGTATTTTTTTGTGAAAGGGTTTTTAATAAAAAAAATTATGGTATAATGTAATTGAGAATTATAGTAATTAAAAAATTAATTAAGTAAAAGAAACATTTTTTGATGTTAATAGATAATTGAAATTTTTTACATTAGACGTGGTAGTTGATCGTAGAAAAGGAATTATATTAAATGTGTTAAATTTGTATTTTTTTGAAGTACTAAATTCGAGAAATTAAATGTTATAATTAAAAGATTAAAAATAAATATTTAACAAGGAATGTTAAAATACATTTAGCCCTCGCATTTTATTTTATTCTTGAATATGGAAATTTGATATTAAAATTCTAAATATAAAAAAATGTATTTTTGAGTCGAATTTAGGAAAAGAATATTATTATTTATTGAAAGTAAAATTTTATTCTTGAATATGGAAATTTGATATTAAAATTCTAAATATAAAAAATGAATTTTTGAGTCGAAATTTGGAAACGAATATAATTATTTAATGAAATTAAAAGGGTTACGAAAAATTTTACGATGACTGTTTATATAATAATTTGTATTTATTGTAAAATATTTTTAATTTTATAAATAATGAAAGATGAGTTTTATATTATAAGTTGTATTTATTGTAAAATGTTTTAAATTTTTATAAATAATAATTTTTTGGGTATAATGTATATATTTTTTTATTTTAACGTTTTGAGTGTTCCCAAAGGAACACTTCGTGCAGCACGGAGTGTTCCCAAAAGGAACACTCCGCGCTGCACAGAGTGTTGAACACTTCCGGCTGCGCGGAGTGATCTCTCGCGTAGCGCCGAGTATAAAGGCGCCAAGATCACCCCGCGCAGCCCGAAGCGATCTTTGCGCAGTCGGGAGTGTGGTCACTCCGAGCAGCTTTCTAAATTTAAAATTTTCATGTTCTTCGAGATATTAACAAACTTGAGATTCAGTAAATGTTCTTCGAGATATTAACAAACTTGAGGTTCCGTAAGAGGAGCTGCTCAACAGCTAGTGATAGATTCAATATTTTTTGGCCTAATGAAAATGATTGAGATTTGCATGAATAAGTTTTAGGTTTCATTTTAGCTTTGATATTCATATTATTGAAGAATTTGTTGGCTGATGAATTTGTATCCAAAATATTCTTTGAATTCCTCTACATTTTTTCTTATCCCAAGACATGGTGGAAGTGATGGATTGCATGCGTTCATTCGTTTGACTATGCAGTGACAGACATGGTATGGTATACTATTCATATATATAATGCAGATTAAATACTTGCAGTAAAGAAAAGTGACACATAATTTTGCATGATTTTCCTAATATAATAGAATTGATAAACCACATATTCTCTATACGATAAATATATTCGAAATTTATTTTCATTGGAAAGAAGATTACCTTTCTTCCTGGTGGTTGAACTTAGTTTCCTTTTGAGAACTTTGAAAATTGAGAGAAAATGTTTTTGAGACGTGTGAAATGGTAGTGAAAGGATGGTTAAATAGTTGAATATGGGTAGTTAAATGTGCGTAAGTAGTATTTTGAATGTTGGTTAGAAAATGTGGATAGGTAGGTTTGGATAGTAGTTTAAATGTGGGTAGATAGATGTTGTTAACTACCATGTGGGTAGTTGAAATGTACAAATGTTTCATTTACTATTTAATTTTTTTTTTTTTTTGGGGTTTTTTATTTTTGAATTTTTTTTTTTTTTTGGGGTTTTTTATTTTTGAATTTTTTTTTTTTTTTGGGGTTTTTTATTTTTGAATTTTTTTTTTTTTTTGTTGGTGTTTTTTACTTATGAATTATTTTCTGTTTGTTGTGGATTTTGTAAAATCGTATTTTTTTTCGTTTATTTATATATGTAGAAGAGAGAGTTTGCATGAAAAGTAAAATTATATGTAATTGTTGATGTAAGTTTATGAAAATATTTATTGACTGAAATAATTGACGGTATAAATTAAAAAATTTGTTTAAAAGTTCATTTAAAAGCGAGGTAAGTAGACTTTGTTGGATAATTACAAAATGAAAAATGTGAGTATATTGAACTTATGTTTTAAGATATGTATAATTGAAGAGGAAACTATGTTTAAGTAATAGATAAATTGAAATATGTATTTAAAAAGGTTGTTTTTTATTCATAATAAAATGATAGGATATAAGTGGTTAAACTGTTGAAGGTAGTACGTATCTTATTGGGAATTATCATGTTACATAATTCTTTCTATGTGAAATCATTTAGATCAATGAAATTAATTCTTCCTTTATCATATGTTATAATTATTAAGTTTATAAAAAAAGAAAATACTTTATCGTAACATAGTGTTTTCTTAATGAATTAAATATTTATATTTTAAAAGAAAGCAGAGGTGAATTTAGTTTTTTACAAGCATGCAATTAAAAGAAAATGAATAAATTTATATTTTTTCTTATTTTGTTAAATTATTTAGTTTTTTAAGTAAAAGAGACAGTTTGCACAAAGAGTACAGTTATATAAACGATATAATTAATTACCAATTAACTATATAAACGAAACAGTTTGTTTAAAAGATTATTTAAAAGCTAGGTAAACTTTATTGGAACAAAGAAAAAAAGAAATTAATTTAGAAAATGGAAAATGCAAGTATATTGAACTTGTGTTTTGATTACGTATTCGATTAAGCGAAATTGAGGAGGAGATAATATTTAACTAATAGATAAAGTAAAATATATGTATTTTACACAACTATTCTTTATCGATAGCAAAAGAAGTTTTATATATTAGTGTCAACCATGGGTCGAGTACAATTCTGTGATTTCACAGTATTTACATTTTTAACAACAAAAACATACCAAAATATCTAAAGCAACCCGTTCTATTTAGAAACTAAAATCATATAACTGAATCTAAGACTCATTATTCTACTGGAGATTTATAGATTATAGGTTGCTTGTAGAATCAGAGAAGTGTCTACTGTTAGATTGTCTATTATCCCAAAACAAAACGAACGTGAGTTGAGGTTTTATCCAGAGCTAAGGACATCAGCATCTTCAACGTGTTTATCAGTCTTCATTTTATTCTTGGAACGAGTTTCGGTTTTTTGGTCTCGAGTTTGAAAGAGAGCCCTCTTTGCATTTGGTGCAAGCACTTCGTCGGCGTTTGTAGAATCTTGATTATCGGTGATGCACATCTTCTCTTTACTTTTCGTAGATGTTTTGTCTGAACTATTATCAGTTGTTACAAGAGAAGAATCCAATTCTATGATTGTACTTGAAGAATCAATGTCAGTTGTTGTCGAAGAGTTGAATATGAAGATAATTTCATATCGGTATTCAGGTGGATTTTGGCTTTTTGGTGTTACTTTTAGGTAAAAAAGTTGTTCTTCCTCGCTGTTAGTTCTTATGAGATCTTTTAGTTGTGTATCAACGTCCTGAAATATTAAAATTATACTCATTTAATATGATCAAGTAAATGCAAATAATTATTAAAAATTTAGTAGTATTTGGAGTTAACCTTTTCAAAATGGTTCATAATTTGGACGGCATTTGCTTCCAATAAAGTTTCTACGGTTTCTCCTATTATGGTTGCATCCAAGCCTCCAGAGTTGTCTTCAATATGTACGAAAGCAGTTACCCTATATGGAGAAGTTAATTAAATTACATAGTAAGTTTTGTTAAATGAAGTGTTATTTTTAATAAATAGTTAAATATAGGTTTAGAGTACATGTTACCTTGGTATTGCTTTTGCATGTTCAAATTTGTAGAAACGACACTAATGAATTTGTCCCAAGTCTGCACTTGACGTTTTCTTACAATTGTTACATGCAATATACCAAAACTTTTGGTTCATTGAAGTAATTTTCTATTGCGCTTTGACCCAATAAAATTTTTTCTGCATACGAAATGAGAAATATAGTAATAAGAAAGAGCGTAATTTTTTTTAGTATTGGTCAAAAATATATATATATTTAATTAAACGTTTTTGAAATTACTCCTAAATGGACTCCCTGTAAGTCACCAACTGGCGTGAATTTATTTTCATCTGGAGGTGAAATTTTGGGTGGCGTCACTGCAATAGATGGCTTATCTTGGATTAATTTGTCAAGCTTTTCTTTGTTTGTTTCAATCCTGCATAAATAAAGCAAACAACGAAGTGTGAGATTTACTACCGAAATTTATAAAGTTAGAAAAATAAAAGAAATTTGTTAGTTCTATTCGATAACCATTCTTTGTAGTCTGTGACAGCTACAATTGCAGGATTAATGAAAAAAGTGCTACAGCTACAATTGCAGGATTAATGAAAAAAGTGCTGTTCACTTTTGTAGAGAGCGTAAGTCCTAAAAAAATAAAAAATTTCAATCATAAAGTTAGTGTTCATTTTACTTAAAATATAAATGTAAACAAAATAATTTTTTTATTCTGTTTACCGTTGTATGAAGAACTTTTAAATTAGTCAGTGATTGGTTTGCTTCCAATGTTATCTATTATAGTAACGCACTCATTTTCAACAAAAGTGTCCCACATCATTAATATGATCGTCTGGAAAGACTTATCTATCAGCACAACATCTTGAAGACAGGCTTGTGTGCCAAACTGGATTTGGATAATTCTTTTTTGACGAACTTCTATAACGACGCCTATAACACCTGCAAAAAAGAAGTTGTGTTGATATCATATTTTGTATATGATTAAATGAATATAAATAGAACGATTAAAAAATATTAACTAAATGTATATTTGCTATAAGTTAAAGTGTTTGTGATCATACTTATCTCTTCATTACTATCCATGTATCGTTCAAGTTTGTTGAATGCTGTGAGTTCATATCTCGAGAAGAGAAGGTTCAAGTTATCCTCCTTAAGTTCTTCTATCTTTGTCTTTGCTGTTATGGTCCAAACTTTGTCTTCAAGAGAGCCTCTGAACTCATTTCTGTTGTCCTTTACAGTTGCATTTGATAACACGTATGTTTTCCCTAGTGTTAGCTCATCTGCAAGAGCCGTAATATTTGTATCATAGATTATGGCAGTAACTTAAGAAGACTCGTAAATATATATTTACCTCTAAATCCATTAAGAGAAGGTTTTGGTAGCGGCTAATGTTATTTCGAGCAGTTTTAGGTGCTTGTTTTCCTGCAACTATGATTTTTGCAGTCCAATTCTTCTCAAAAGTGGAAATCTGTGGGATAAGTTTATAAAATGCGGCCATTCTTGATATCCTATGATTATGTGAAGAAGAAATTATTACACAAATAGTTACAGTTGTTAATATTACGTTAAATTTATCGTAAACAAATGATATCAATTTTTTTAATTCTAAAAGTTTTTTATGAAATAATCTAACGTTCTTCTTTTGTATTAATAAAAGATAATTATAGTAAAACGATAGTAACATGTAAAACTTACCAATAAGAAAACGAAAACGAAAACGAAAACGGAGTTTTTAAACTTTTGCAGTTGTAGTTGAAGAGTACAATACTGTCGTAGAATTTTGATGCTGAAGGGGAAAGTAAAAGTAACATAAAATTATTTAGTCGAAAGCAGGTATTAATAGATAGAACATGAGTAGAAAAATCTTTGTTTTAATATCCAACCATACACTTGGTTTGTAAAATATCTTTTTGCATGGATGAGAATTAAAGTGAAAGAAAAGGTTAATGATGGTTTATATGAAAAGGTTATGCGTGGAAAGTTGGCACTATTTTTTTTCATTTGTATAATATATGTAATTGATGATGGTTTATACGTTTAAAAGTTGTGCGTGAAAAGTAACGTACTATTTTTTGTCATTTGTAAAATATCTATTCGATGTAGATATATACTTAGTATTGAAAAAGCTTTTATAAAAAGTTGGTAGTTTTCTGTGTTAATTTTTTACTGGTTCACGTGTTGATTTTGAAAAAGATTCGTTTATAATTTGCTTAAATTTAATACATTATGTTAGATTTACAAATTGGAAGAAGGATTGTTAATCCATATGTTTCAAATACGAGTGTTTCATGGATAATACATTTAGTAAGTAACTTTATTTATTCACTTTATTTATTAAGTAATTTTATCTATTCACGAACTTGTGGGGAGCTTAACTTATATTATTATAGGTGTCATCAGGTTAAATGTTACTATCGTTGTTGTTTGTCTTTTTTTTCTTTATTTTCTATTGGATTTATGTATTTTGAAAAACTATTGTGTTCACTTATTACATTAGTAAGAAGAAAATTCAATTTATGGTCGAAAAATGTATGAATTGTATGAAAAACATTAGTTTTTAATTAAGTGAAAGAGTAAATAGAAAACTTCGAATCCAGGACGTTGGAAAATATAATAAAGGATACTAAGGTTGAACCATCATTTATTATAAACAAAAATTTGTATTTCAGGTACTTGAATACATCACCGTGAATGTACTTTCCCTTAGTTTCCTCTTCATCATCAGCTAACTTCTCATTTTCGGTTTACCTTACCACAAAAAAGACGATAAATAGATTAGATATAGGACGTCCAACGTTCATGCATTAATCGCCATAATGCATTCATTTAGGAAGGACCAGAGTTAAAATAACATAGACAAAAGGATGCAAAAAGTCAAAAAAATACATATTTGATATAATTGACTGAATTTCTTATCTAAAGTTATATTAATTGAAGACATAAACGAATGAAGATAGCAGATCTTATCCCTTGTTTGCGACAACATCAAGCATGACATGAAGATTATATGAAACGTAATGCAGTTCAAACTATTATAGAAAAGAGTTAGAAGATATTTAGAAAATTTATATGTATGGTTTAATATCTATTGCAATAATCAACTTCTTATTTGTCAAAGAATATAAGTCATTTCTAACCTGAAGAAACCTAGAAAGGCAAAAAAATGTCAATGCTGAATTAGATATAATAGTGACAAGGCAAGGTGAAAATTAGCAAAATTGATCTTCACACATATTGAACAAGCGATCACTAAATTTCACTAATACTGTGTCTAATATTCTACAAATAATAAATTGAAATTACGTAACATTTCAAAGAGAAATGTCGCACGTGAATTATACTAACAAATGTTTCAATTCCTATAGACTATTTCGAATTAATTTCAAGAATTCAGAACAAGAAGAGAAATTAAGGCTAGGTAACGTTTTTTTTTTTAAGATGGAATCATGAATTAAAGTTTTCGGTAGCAGATTATCTTTGGCTAGAGAAGAATATATATCGTATAAAAAAAAATATTATTAGACCCTTAGTATAAGAATTACTATGACAGATGGATTTGGAAATACGATGGAAAACACTTAAAATGCTTCCTAGATGAATAGTAGACGTAAGATTCCATTTTTTAAAAGAGTAGGAATGTAAAGAATAAGCATATTGAAAATTTATCTTTTCGTATGTTCATCATTTGACTAATAAAAATTGAAAATATTGTATACTAAGAAACATAACAATATAGCATAATGCAAGGAAACATATCATCATATAATTCAATCCAAATTCCGTCTTTGCATATTTATCAGCACTGAAAGTGAATATATTTTCGACCATGTAAGATTAATCGTCTTTAGATATAGGATGACTGTAATCCTACTCTGAAAAATAACATTGTTGGTTAGAATTTAGATTAATAATAAAATTAGTAAAATTTTTTTTATTAAGTTTCCCATTAAATCAATTCATGCATTGATAAAGAAATATGTAATGTATATAGAATAAAAATATTTGCTCACAAAATTTTTTGTTCACCAAACCAAGTTAGATGATTAAATAGGAAAGCGTTAATGTACACACACCAGTTTGGTATATTCTATCAAGAAGAATAATGTTAAATTCACTTAAATATTTCCTAACGTTGCACGAAGTAAAGGGAAAGCATAACGTGTTCATTAAATTCTAAAAGAGTATCAAACCATCTTTATGTAAAATTAATTAGAGCAAGGAATATTATTGAACTATCGAAATTAAAAGAAACTTATGTATTATTGATCTTATTGTATAAAATCAACAAAATTCAAATATATAACATTAGCATATTTTTAGTTCAAGATGATTTGTTGAAATTGAACATTTCATGATTCACTTGCATAAATGAGATTTATTGACCAATTGAAACATAGTTTAAACAAAAGGGAAAAATATAAAATATGATTAGAATGTAACGTACCAAGTAGGTCATGACATTGCCAAGAGTTGCGTTTTATGGTCAAATTTATGAAAATACCTTGCCCCATAACTACCACAAGCATTGCATGGCTCTGATTTATCTGAGCTTCAGTAATAAGCTTCTGTACCAAGTTCTTACCTATTTTCATATTCCCAAAGTTTACAATTTGATTTCCAAGCTGTAAGCTATCTACTGTTGCTGAAGATCCTTTTGTAATTTCATCAACCATTGCGAAAGGTTTGCTAGAGCGAACAACTACCCCCATGTCCATACTATTATTACCTCCAGCAACGGGATTGCCAAAAGACGTAGGTGTGCTCAAAGTAACACCATGTTGAGCATTTAATCCTGCAAACACACTTAGAGAAATTAAGATAATGCTTTAAGTAGCTTGCATAAAGTAGTGTATTAGACTAATTCATTATAAAAGCAAAAAATCAGATTATAAATAGCTAATGACAAAGCCATAAATCGTATTTTACACATCATTTGTAAGCAATTAAAGTGCAATTCCGTTAGTGTACAAGTAGAACCAGCAAGAAGCAGAAGCAGCAAAATGATTTCAATAAACCATGAGCTTCAAAAGGAAAATCAAGCATTAGTCTTCCGATTGATAGAATTACAGTAGCATAAAATTGTCCAAGAATCAGAATGTATGATGCACAAAGGGCAGACAAATTATATTTAAGACTTAAATTTAGGAAACTTATAATATTCATAGAGAAACTAATTTTTAACAAATCTACCTCAAAAACTTATTGACATCAATTAGATTATTAAAAGAAAATCAAAAGGATTAGAAATCCAGTTGAATCAATCAAGATTTAGAACACCATAACAAAGCAACATAATTGAATTAAATCCTCATCAACAACTCAAAAGGTTTCCGAAAACTAAACTAAAAAAGAAAATTATTGGCTACAATGTTCTTCCTCTTCTTTTTCGTTATTAATATGTGCTTCTTTATCAAATAAGTTTGACAGCCTTCGATTCTTCTGCCATTTACTACAGTGACCATCGTTGTCCTATACTCTTCATTATCACCTTCCTCTGCTAACTCGAAAAGAAAAAGAGAAGAAGAAGAAGAGCTAGGCCCTTACCGTAAACGAAAGTTGAATAATAGAAAAAGCCTCCTTCTTCCATTGCCAAGAACATAGACAGTGTATTTCAAGTGTACTTCAAATGGATATCTCCTTTAGGTGAAAGTTTGAGAACAAGGGCAAGAGTTTTGAGAAAGAAAGCTAGAGTTTTGTTTAGGGTTAAGAAAGGAGATACTGTTTCATTTATTCAAAAAAAAATGTGAACTGTAGAAAAAATGGTTGTGGATCAGTGGCCGTAAACGGTTGTGATATAAATGAACAGTAATATAAACCCCCTCTTTTAAGAGGTAGTAGAAATAGTATTAATTACATATATCTTAAATGTGAAATACTGTAAAATATATGAGGGGAAACAACTTGAAGCTGATAATAAGGGAATCTGAAATTGAGTTTCCATAAAATCCATAATTATACTAATTTTTTTTTTCACAAAGTTAAACATTGTGATAATTGGCATACGAGCACATTTTAACTGATGGAAGAATATTTATGTGACAATGTGAAATTCTTAAGGGTAAATATATTCTAAAAATAGAGAAATTACTTTTTATTTTGAAATTTTACTAAAGTAAATTAGTTATCGATCTGGCAAACTATTAAACTAACACTAAAAAATTTGAATCATACCTTTTGCAAACGCAGGTTGTAATTGAAGTTGGCATTAGTGATTCCATCGTACATATGTAGCAAAGAATTAAAAAGAACTTTTCATTCCCGATAATGAAATCTGTGAAATTTTTTTATAGCAAATGCAAAGAATAAAAAAAATAGTAACGACATAATTTTTCATGTATTTAAAATTGAGGAAACTATTGTACGAGAACATATCATAAAAATTTCTCGAAGATAAAAAATATACCTGTTCAAACATTTTAGGTATACGAATATATAAACGAAAGAATTTCCTTATACACAACATTTTTAGTACATGTATTATGTGAGTTGTCCATGCTTGATGGTTTCAATAAAACTTTTAGAGATGTGCTCGTTGTTGCTCTTGATAATGCTACATATAGCTGACCATGGCAGAAAACTGGTTCTGGAAGATATAGACCGACAAAATCAAGCGTTTGACCTTGTGCTTTATTTATTGTCATTGCAAAACACGGTCTAATTGGAAATTGAGTTCTCTTAAATTGAATTGAGTTTCGATCACTTTGAAGAGGTATAAAAGGAATCCTTGGTAAGAAAACATATTTCCCACAATACTCACCAGTTGTAATTTCAGCAAGAATTACGTTTTTCTCAAATTTTCGACAAGTAAGGCGTGTTCCATTGAATAATCCTTCGGAAGGATTAATATTCCATAATAACATTACAGGACAATTTACCTTAAGTTCAATTCATGCAGTGGAATACCATTTGGTGTCAAAGTATTCAAGAAATCTTCATGCAAGCTTTGTTCCGATTTGTCAATTGCTTCATCAAAACTATAGTATGTGGAAAAATCACCGGGAATTTGTTCGAGTAAAATCTTGTTAATATAATCAACATATTCATTCGTAGGTGTAAGAATAACTCTATTTATCATATTATGTAAATTGTCAACATATGCCTCTATATTTGGAAAAACATAATGTATCAAAAGTTTTAAAGATGTGATTTCATCTTCAAATGGTAGAATTATACTATTCGGAAGTATAATGCACTTACAAGTATGTTCTTCTTCTGTTCCATTTCCAATTTTGAGTAAGTAAGTGCAGAACATAGGATCTGATTTTGCCCTCATATTCTCAACCAATGGTAAACGTAAATAGGAAGGCCATAGGTTTGAAAAGACCAAGCTAGCTTTCATTACATCATCTTTTTTCCATCTCGGTACCACTGGAAGAACCTGTCGAAAATCTCCTCCAAAAACTATCACTTTCCCACCGAAAGGTAAGTTACAATCAGTAATATCTCTAAGCATTCTATCTACAGCTTCAATAGCGCAACGATTTACCATAGGCGCTTCATCCCAAATTATTAACCTAGACATTTTCAACATTATTCCTAAAGCTGATTGCTTGCTAACAGAACAATTCACTTCACCAATTGTTTCTAAAGGAATTTTAAATCTTGAATGAGCTGTGCGACCTCCAGGTAACAGAGACCAGCGACTTCAGAAGACGATGTTGCCAAAGCAATCAAATGTTGACCTCTTACAGCAGTTAGAAGTGCTTTGTATAAGAAAGTCTTCCCCGTTCCCCCTGGACCATCAATGAAGAAAGTACCACTTGAGTCATTTTTTACTTTTTCCATAACTTTATCATATGCAAATCGTTGTTCTTTATTGAATTTCTCTACACAATTAAAGTCTCGTTGAATATTAAAATTCATTGTTTCCTCTGCAATCATTCTTGCCAATCTTTGAGTCTCATCTATATTTACAAAGAATGAAACTATTCCATAATCATTTACATTTTTTCCTGACGATTCTAATATAGAATTGATGTCTTCCAAAGCTTGTATTTCAGCATCTCTAACACATATGTTTCGATGTACATAATCATCAATCATATAGGCTTTATATTTATCCCACAATAACTTTGGATAATTAGGGTTGCAAAGTGTAAGAAGTGTAGCAAAAAGATGTCTTAAAGAACTGGGCATTTTGTAAATAATGGCTTCAGACAGACATTCTTCACAATGGTTGTCTCCTTTTAACAAACCATGTAAAAGTGCTGCTTCTCGATATGTATTGACTGTTACTTCGTTTAAAGTTTTAAAACTATCATATGATGTTGGACCTTTAATATGATTCAGAAGAACACGAAGGAAATAACGTTCTCCTTCGGATGGATTAACTGTCACGATTCGCCCTATAACAATGTGTTGTTTTCTGGGAGTCCAAGTTTTTCCAGTTGCATTCCACACAAAATGTGTTGGAAAATCTCGATACAATAGCGTTCGAGCAAATTCATTTACTTCATTCATCCGAAAAAAATTCAATTAGCATTGTTCTTCTCGTATACTCATTTCCAATAATAACAGATAAATCATCTTTACTATTATAAGTTACGTGCTGATGATCTTTAATATGAAGTTGTAAAGCGCAAACAGTAGGATAAATTTCTGACAAATTAAAAGAAAAAATTCTCCACATAGCTTCAGGTGGAGATATCCATCTAGCTGATTGATAAGCAAAAATTTCATCAATTTCCTTATCTGTTTCATTTCTGCCTACGAAACAATTAATACGATCATGTCCTTTATACACATATTTGTACAAATATTTTACTGCTTTAATAAAAGAACATACTTCAACGTTAATATGACAGTCAAATTTTGCACTTAAATAAGGATTATATGGTACAACCCACCGATTATCTAACATTTGGCCTCTTACTTTAATAGAAATACCATTATCACGACGTCTATACAAGGGATATGAATTATCACCAAATATAGTACTGTTACAATAATCCTTAGGATATTTATTTTTACAACCACTACTTGCCAACATACATATGTTTTTTGGATTAAGGGTTCCACAAGGGCCATGCATATTGTGTTTTGCAATTACAGAATGAAGATGCAAGTATTTATTCTTATCGGGAATTTCACATGACACTATCATATCAACTTGTTCAGCACAACAAATTTTATTGGCAGAGTTGAAAATCAACAATAAATGGGCATGAGGGAGCCCCCTTTTTTGAAATTCAATCATGTATATATGAGCAACAACTGAACCAAAAATATTTTCTTTGTATAAATCGTTCTTTAACCCTTCCAATTTTGCTCTAAATATACGTGCAATTAAATCTGGTCGATTTCGAACTTCGTCATTGTGTTTGAGTTCTTGCATAATTTCTGGCAAATTTGGATTACATGTTATAGTTAGAAATATATCTGGTTTTCCATAACGTTGGACGATAGCCATTGCGTCTAAATATCTTTTAAGCATATCTCTAGGCCCACATGTGAAAGTTTGTGGTAGAACAATCTTCTTTCCAATTTTTGACCCTCTTGTTCCACCATTTTGAACACTATCCACAATACCTTGATAAAGTTCAGCACGAATTTGTTTCTGATTGCTACGAAAATAGTCTAATCTGGCAGTTTCAATTTTAACATACATATCTACAACATATTGTTGAAAAAGTCTACCAGTATGAAGCAACACAGACTTACTAGAAGGCCTAATTTGTAACTTGTAAGAATAATACTCGCGGCAAGAAACCTGTGATCATTTCCTCATTCCATTGAATACTGCATAAGGATAAAAAAATGCATCTTACACCCATTCGGAACATTTAATTTATATGAATTAGTAAACATATAAAAAAGTTTAATAGCAAACCTTGAGCCTCATTTGCAATGATTTCAGTTGCAAAATTTACCGTGCTAGGAAAAGCTACGCACTCGGGTAAATTCTGAGTTTCAAAATATGTTTTTTTGTATCTCTGAATACCTTCATGCCAACCAGGTTCTCCAAATGGGAAAATTAAAGGGTATTGCAAAGGATCATAACAACCATAATAATAGTGAACCTTATGTGAATCATCAGAATGACCATATATAGTAATATCACGAACACGAATATTTGCATTGTCATCATCCTCAATCCATACAGCGGCTACTTGAGATGCTGAAGGAGTATTGAAGACTCTTTGATCAAGTCCAGGATCGCATCTTATTGGTCATATTACTTAAATACCTAAAGAATCTACTATACGGATTTACTTTCAAGATTTCAATCAAAATGATCAAAGTAGATTCAACAAATTTTTTTGAAATTTTCATACGATTTTCAACTTCGTTATTCGTATCATAAAAATATAATTGCATATAAGAAGGCTGATTATTTTCCGGCAGAAGTTGATTTACATAATGATATACTTGTCCCTAAATTCTGAATGTGTAAATACCTTTATATGCTCTAAAAAGTTCTGTATCGCACTTTACACCAAATGAAGTGAATACAAAATGGGTATTATATCCACGTGAAATTATCTTAAACTCCATGCATTCAGGTTCTTTAGAAGTAAATAAATTATACAATTCAGTTGGTGAATCAGGCATATAAAGTTTTACTTTTCCATCAGAGCAACAGAACCCTTTAGTTTCTCTATAAAATTTTCGCGCACCACAATGTTCACAATAGTTCCATGTCGGTAATACATACGCATTAGTAGGTATGTTTAATAGGTTAGAAATCCCTCGTACTTTAGAATGAACAATATTAGTACGTGCTTGATTTGAAGTAGAAGCCTGAAAATTAGGATGCAACGTGGAATTATTTATTCTTTTACGACGATCAACGCGTGGACTTTGAATTTGATTCCTCCTATTTGCCTGTCTTTGGTTTTGTTGTTGGCGAATAAAAGCAGTATACGATTCAGTTGCATTTTGAGAAGTACTATCAATGTTCGAAGAATCCATGGGGAAAAGATCTTCACCTTTAGTTTAACGAAAGCAAAGAATTTTCGTTTTAGTGAATGAAATAATTAAAAAATTAATAATACTACTAATTTTCCAAAATAGGAAAAATATTCGATAGACACAAGTGAACCAGACTCTCACAACAGTAAAAACACGTATAAAACTAAAATTTAATAAAAAAATTGTTTACTTCAAAGCAATAGCAATAAATATAAACACTGTTGACTGAACTGTTGATGAAATAAAATTTTAATAAGACTTATATAATGTAAAAACAGGAATAAAAGATTAACATTTTTATATCATTCTTGTAAAATTAATAGTTTTTTTTAAAAACATAAATACTATTGTAATGTTGTAAAAGTTGTTGCTATACTACTACCGAAGAGTAAGAAAATAAAGACTTCTAAAAAGAAAATATTTTTCATCTATAAATTTAGGGGTTTTGCTTCCACCCAATCAACCTACATATGCAATCTATTTCTAAAGTTATAATGTAAGTAATTTATCAACAATCATAAACTTAATAAATTCATAAGTGGACGACTGGAAATGCACAAAAGAATTCGGGCAGCAAGTGATAAAAGATTTCCATCTATGAATTTCTGCCTTAATAAGTTCTAACAAAGTATCTTTTTCAATGAAAAAGTATGATACTCTAGCTTCTCTCTTGGAACATTCAAAATTATAATTCAAAGCAACCTACAGAATAAATTTCCCTATAAATACACTTCCATTATAACTATTTAACTTAGACAAGACTTCTATCTACCACGATCATTTATCAATTTATAAAAAATCAAGGCATGGCACTAAATACTACACGGCGCCTTCAATTCAAATTTTATTCATCTTTAAAGTTAATATAAATCTACATGTCCCCAACACATATATTTTAAAGAATTTTTAAAGTTCATAAAAAGTTTGGCGTTTTCAACTTAAATAATTTTCATATTAGATAAGAATAAGAAAAAAATATCTCTAGTCTACATACTAAAGGAAGAAACTGGTGACGTGTGAAATTTTGCCAAACATAAACAATAACTTGGACAATCTCCTCTCTTATAGTAAAGGCAGATACTATCTTATTATTATATACTAATTAAATAAAATATATTCTATACGAAGAAAAGTAATCCCCTCTCCTCACACACGTAAACATGTATGTATGTAAATGTGTATGTACACATCTATATAATTTTCACCCTCTATTAACATTTTTTTTTTCCATTGCAATTTCATTTTCTTCTACAGTGAATGAAAAATGGAGTGAAATAGTGATTTTAAATTGTCGAAGTTGGCTATGAATGATGATAGTTGATTCCTCACCAGCTTCGAAACAGCGAAAATTCATGACCTTCAACCTCATGAACTACGAATATGTAAACGTAGATATATTTTCATGCATCTACAGAAACGAGAACATACCTTATATGGAGCTAAAGGAAGACGAACCCAGCTAGATTTTCATCTACAAACAAAGGAAAACTACGTACCTTAAATAAACAGTAAGAAACTAAAAAAAGAAATACACAAAAAAGAAAAATTATAAGAAGAACATACCCAAACTAATTGTTGCAACTTCTAGAATTTTCTTCTCCACTATTGATGACAAGAAAATACGAATTAGGCTAAAGGCAAAAGCGAATAATGGTAGAAGGACGCCCTTTCTTTTTTTCTTTTTTCAGAGAAAACAAGATTTTGGGGAGAATTCGTTTTGCAAAACAATGGCTAGAATTTAGAAAGAGAAGGATTGAATTGATAGAAAAGTATTGTGCGAAATTTATGTGGTAAGAAAAAAAAAATAAACAGCACACGACATTTTACTTCAAATGTGGGTCCCATTCATTAATGTTTGGACAACTATATTTTTTAATTCCCATATCACCCTTAACATTAATATAGGTATGGAAATTAGTGTGTAGTTAGAAAATGAAGGGTAATTGTGCCAAATTGTTTATTAAATAGAGGGTATAATGTTACTTTTGATATCTCAATTATGTGGGGGGAAAAAGGACAATCATCTAATAACTGTGCAATATACCTCATGAATGCATGTTTTCAGATTTGAACTAGTCAACAAAATAAAGTACACTCCAATAAGTCAAAAAAAAGCAACTACATTAATTATCCCTCACTCCATTAAGTCAAAAAAATCAACTACACTAATTATTCCTCACGAGAGGAGGTGGACGTGAGACAATACAAAAGCAAGAATACGCAGAGTACGCGGTCTCAAAAAGAAAACATGGCTCATTCTAGGGACCGACCAACTGTAGCAAAACCAGATATGTAAATCGAGCAAGTGTGAAAACCACTGTGACATGAATGAATAGTAAAGGAAGCCTCTCTTTTAAGAGAGTAAAGATATATAAAAAAATAAAAAAAATAAAAATAAAAAAGCATATCCAAAATATTGGGGAATGCTCTGTAGCATCTAGATACACAATAATAGCATGAAATTCATCCAGAACAAGATGCCAATTCACCATTTTTTTTGAGAGAAAAGTTCAAATCTTAGTAAGATTTGAAGGTAATTATATCTAGAAAAATGAAGATTTCAACCTTGAACTTGAAGATCAATATATTTTACGTTATTTTATGATTCGAGTGATATTTTTCTATTAATTTTCTTATAATATTAATATGCTAGACTAAATCCCCTTTTGTATTGGATAAAGATGTACCCTATTATTTGTTTATTTATTTTAATCAACACTAGTGGTTTACTAATTCTTGCATTTTTGATTAATTTTACATACTCATTTCAATATTTAATTATTTGATCATCAATTACATAATTAAATACTTGTTATAGTGTTGGAACACAAAATAAACTTAAAACATGAAAAAATTAACATATGTACAATAGATGTTAAAAATAATATTTATTATGTGTGCAATTATAAAGATAATCTAAAATTTAATACGTTTTAATCATTCGAATTCGGGTTGTGGTTAGGATAAGATTAATGTATCTTGAAAAATTATATATCATAAGTTTATTTATTGTCAAGAATGCATGGACAGAACTAAATTACATACTTGAGAATTGAAATAGATAGTAATAAATGGACTTTATCTCTAATATAATCATTCATAATTTGATAAAAATTATAGCTTTTTAAAATTAACTTAGAATAATTAACATCAAAAACTCTTTTGTGTTACATATACCGAATTCTATTAAAAACTAGTAAACTTGAATTGAATTTATTATCCGTATGACGATACTCTCAAATCACTAATTCTATTACTTGTCAACAATTCCGCATACTTGAAGATTTCGCACGAACAAAAAGCCCTGTAAATTTTTAAAAATTGAAGCCAAATTGCTTGGCTATTGTATTGATTTTTCGAATATACGGACAATATCCTTATTCGATGAACTAAATGAAAATTTCGACTTCCTTAAGACAGAACATGGGCAACCATTAAAAATACCTTTCTCTACTCTCTCAATTCAATTCATATCATAAAATCTTTCAAGAATGAGGTTCAATTCACCATATTTTGGAGAGACGGTCAAACCTAGCAAGGAATCCAAAGAAAATTACATCAAGGGCTTGAAAAATCAAGACTCAGGGTTAAAGATCAAGAACCAGAATTGCTTTCCCATATTTCTTGTATTCATACACATTTCGAATGAAGACTTTCCATTATTCTTGTTGTTTTATTATTAGGGACATGCTAAGCAAATTTTTCTACGTTGGGATGCAGATGAATTTTATTATTGCATATTTTTAATTCAAAAATCAAATAGCCTAGTTAATTCAATATAGAAAATGATACAATTTCTTCTTATAACATTACAAATTGTGTAGAATAGATTCTGTACCATCCTTGATATTTTCAGATTTGTTAAATAGTTAAATTTAGGGAAAATTACAGCCGAGGTACCAAACCTTTCGTTTATTAGCAGACTTTGCCCAATCCTTTCATTTGTGCCACCGGAAGTACCAATCCTTTAAAAAATTCGCAAGGTCAGCCCAAAATGACGGTTTTTGTTTGTTTGACCACAAAAATTGTCAGTTGACCCCAACAATTAAAAATCTAATCATTTCCCCAAAATAAGATAAGGGTAAAATTTTAACTTCATAATTTTAATATAAAAAGGAAAAAAGCACCATCTCCTTCAATCTTTCCCCAATCCTTTCACTTCCAAAATCAAAACCACCATTGCTGCTACTGGCATTGTTACTTTCTTTCTTCTGTTGAGAGGAAAATAGGCCAAGAACACCAGATTTTGACGAGCCTTGAAGTGAACAAACCGGAACATTCATAACTGGAGTAACACGAACATTAGCTGAATAAGACCTCTCCGTACCTCGGTGTTTATATCTGGGACCACTGTTGAAACTGCTGGGACTACTGGAACTCCTCTCCAAGTTATTAAACACGACTTTATTAGAGAAATTCATGAGAGGACTATCTGCAGAACTCCACATGCTTGTGCACTAGACTCCGGTGCTCTTTGCATTGGCTACACACCACTTGAGTTGTCGTATTAGGATTCTATGGCGATAATGCCCTAGGTTTAACAAATTGGACTCGGGAAACAGTGCTGGTATTCCGGTGAGAGCTAGGAATAAGAGTACTCGGCTCGTCAGAATCGAGAAAGAGTCTTGGGAGATCATCGTGCTCATGTCCTGAAGAAGAAGACGAAAGAAGCAGTCGGGAGGAAATTGAGACCGACTCATTGAGGTGGTGGTTCCGAAGATGGCTTCGACGACTGGGTGGACTGTGGAAACTGTTTTGGTTTTGGGTGAGGAGGTTGGGGAAGAAGGAGATGGGATGGGTGGTTGTGGTTTTGCTTTTTGCTTTTCTAATTTTTTATTTAATAGGTGAAATGAATTATGTCAAGAACGCCCTTGTCTTATTTTGGGGAAATAATTAGATTTTTAATTTTTGGGGTCAACTAGCGGTTTTTGTGGTCAAACAGGCGGAAACCGTCATTTTGAACTGATCCTGTGAATTTTTTAAAGGTTTGGTACCCCGAT